ACAATGTAATTTTTTTTGTAGTTAATTACATTAAATATGAAGCTTTCCTGCCAAGGATTATATATTGGAAACTATATAGATTATAAATTAATCGAGGATTACCATTTCAGAAATTTGACACGCATCACCAACTCCTCAACGTATATTCTTGGATAATCTACTATCTTCTATCTATCTACTATATAAAACCACAAATAACACGTCAGGAGGAGGGAGATGCCACGTGTACAATTGAATCTGTTAACGATCGAACCTTTCATCTTCCAATTAGCCTTCTTCAATAGCTTCCAAGAGATCGAAGATGACTGCAATTGATTACCTTTCCGTCTTCTTTATGCTCAAAAATCTTCTCGAACAAAGTTGCAGCAAATCCCATCTTAAAGCTTTCTTCTCATCTCTGCTGGGAAATCGGCTTAATCGCAATCTCTTTCCAACATGTGGGAGTTTGCCTTAGATGTCGTTGTTGTACTGTAAGTTTGCTTCTCTCTCGTTTTAGAAGAGATCTTCCAATTTTCAATTCCACCGATATTAGAGTGGAAGAAGATAAGGAGAAGGCAAGGCTGAAGTCACAAGACAAAGCTGGAGCATCCTCCATTCAAATGAAGCTTCACACATTGTGGGTGATCAAAAATGTGTGTGTAGTCCAACAAGTGATCCAAACAAGGCTAGAAGAAGTAACAATCAAGGAGGAAGCAAAGAAGAGACTATCAAGGTTCTTCTTTGCTATACATGTCTCGGTTATGCAAAAGGGAAAATTGTGGGAAGGCTGAACAAGTTGTTAAGGCTCGGCGACTACATTGTCATGAGCCAAGAGTCTACAAAAGAAGCCTTAACCATCACACACAAGGCAGCAACCGAGAATGTTAAAGACAAGACATGAAGTCAGATTATGGAGGGAACCAACATCCACAATATTCAAATAAAAGAGGAACAGCGTTGGGAATCATGTTCTAGGAGTTCCAAAACATCAGCCCATGCTGTCACTTTCCTATAGATGTTGGGGACCAGTTTGAACTTATTCCCTTCTCTCCTAACATTGTTTTTAGTCTTGGGAACACAATACGGCCGTTGGTGACAAGCTGTCATAAACAAATTGCATAATATCTTCATTCCTTTATTGTATTTGTTTGTCTATAAAATAAGAACTGTATGCAACAAATCAGATAAGAAAATAAGAAGAAGAAACAAGTATTTCTCTACAAAAACGTGCTCTCTATTCCTCCTACCTTGTGCTTGATCGATAATCACAATGTAGACAGTTTAGGAGTCACGGTTTAGAGGCCTTAAGGCAGCCTAATATACTTGTCAAATCCTCACTAAAATCTTCTTATTTTGTTATTCTTAACTCTAGATTAACACCGTCTCTTTGAGTGGGTTAAGGGGATTCAATCACAAGTTGATTGTCTCCTCTCTTGATATGAGCTTACACTCACATATTCTAACAACCGATACCTCCTGGTTATGCCTTTGTCGAGGTATCTTTCTGGTGGTCGAAGAGGTTCATCATCAGTGGAGTCGTGCACCTTCCATACAGTCCACATATCTTGGTTTCTACACTCTTTCCCTATTATTTGCCGTTTTCAAAATTTGGGATTCAAAAGCTCGATTTACTAACTTTTATGTTATTGCGGTCTGCTACGTGGCATGACCTTAAGGTATAGCCTTCTTCTGGATGTTGGTTCCCTATTTCATGTTGGAACTACATTTTCCTGCACTCATGTTATTTGCCATTTATGGCCGAAATTAGACTTTTCAAAATGCCTAATTGAGTGTTATTCTATCATAAGTAAAGTTCAGTTTTTACCTTCCACTTTTGGGTCAAGATTCTAGCAATTTGGTTATACTCGCGTGATTTGTCGTTTCAGGATTGTTAACAGTGGTTTTCCAATGATGGTGAGCCGATTCTGATTTACCTCCGTTTAACTTTCAGAAACTTGGTTACTTGACTACAACCCAAGGTGAGACTTCTAAAACCATCTCATATTGGTGATTTTAGACATATAATGAGAACACGATATAGGTTTCATAGAGACTCTTGTAGAACTCATCTTTGATCTCAGGTGTGATATTCCCTTTCCTGAAACTGTACCTTATTGTTTCATTTTAGTAATATTGCTTTTAGATGCATCTGGTTTTGTATTACTCTTAAGGATTTAGTCAAGTCTCTTTGCATTTGAGCTACTATATTGCTTGCTCTCTTACTCTTTTCTTACGTTGGTGGCATCTCAGCAGGATTTCAATTTTGCAGGGAAAGCATGGTATAGAGAAGCAGCCATTTCATCTTTCTGATCTCATCGCTGCAACCAGAATTGAGAAAACTAGACAGGTATCTATCTTTTCTTGGACCCAATCATTTTACTCTTCTATTGACTTTCACATATTCCTCCACATTTTTCACATCGCCTTTCCATTTTTTTTAAATGTATGTGAAACTCAAGCTTCCCATATTTTCCTCCACATTTCCATAGAGATTTGAAGGTTAGCAATGTGTTGTTAGTTGCAGAGAAGAACGAAGATTCGATATGGCAAGGATCTTAGGTGGTAGCCAAAACAAAGCTAACATGGTTCGGGTCATCGGAAATTAGTAAGTAAAAACCACAAATCTTAAAAGAACCATAGCGAATGTGTTGACCACAGAGTATAATATTCTTAACATCTTTCTTTACTTTGGTCTTTGTAAACACATATTTTCGTCCCTCCTTTTGGATACAAAAGCTAGCTTTGTCTTTACTAAAACTTTTACAAAAATCAATTTTTAAATTTACTACAGGTATGTGTTTGATGGAAATCCCCTGATTTAAATAAACAAGAACTGGCAAACCGATATATTTTTGGGTTTTAAGTGCTGCTAAAATTCCTCTTTAAACTTGAAAATGTTAAACATAGGTCTCTGAATTGCTTCTCACCGAGGTTCTTACACATTTTTCTTTTATTCAGTTACTCCAAGTTTCCAAAAGAGCCAATGCAATTGAAGACTGAGTGGTGTAATTCAGGTTTGTCACTCTCCTTACTTTTACGAGTTACTTACCTAGCATTTCGTACTACCGAAATAGCATAATGATAGATGTTATTTTATGTTGACAGACAAAAACAATGACATTGTGAGGAAATTGTGAACGTATACTTTTTCCTATTTATGAACCGTTAAACCCCTTCATTTAAATTGCATTTACTTTATATCAGGTTGATATCCGACTCTTATTAATATGTATAAACTTACACTCTCCAAGTGATAACATTCTATCTACAAAAGTCTCTTGCTTCACTTTGCCATTATAATTTTGACCCATGAATAGTGTTGTTGGGTTGTTGGTCTCTATGGTGGAAAAAGATTACTGTTTCAATCAGCATGTATTAAAGCAGTCATGGTAGAAGATGATACTTTAGAGCATGCTTTCTGGAACATGCTTGAAGCAGAGTTGAAGGAGTTTAATATAAGCCTATTTTAGATTTAATGGAGGCCATCAGAGAAATAAAGGTAATCATTTTGAGCGTCTTTTATTTTTCTATATTTCTCATTCTATGTGTGTTGTTGCATTAAATGCTTGAGGTCAATGGGAAGGGAATATTTTACCAAACTCTTGTAGCTAACATTTGACGCTTCCATTTGATCGGATTACTTCTCCTTTCTTTGTTAATTTTGTGAAAAAAAATTCTTCTCTTGTTCTCTGTGGATTCTCATTCTTTGCATATCCATTGAATAGCATTTTCCTTCACTTTCTAAACTTTCTTCTTCTTTGGCATATTTTTCCCTATGTTTAGTCGATGATAGTTAGTGGTACTTCGACTCTACCTCACTCTATTAAGAAGAAGATATTGGAGACCACATTTTTTCAATATAAAGAAGAAAAAGCGGATCTGAGAAAACATTTCAAAACCAATTAATTTGCATATGTTTATATAGAAAACACCTTT